AATTTTTTTTTTTTTTTTTTTGCACATTGATTCTGCATCATGAATGTGTTTCATGATTGGGTTTAAATGTAGGGATAAATGATCCTCACACTCTTTGAATTTTATGATATTTTTTTTATTTTATGATTCATCCTCTACAAACAAGGTTCTGACAATTGAAAAACATTGATAAAAAAAAACAAAGGTTATGTAAAATTTAATCAGGGTAATTTGTGTAATTTGAGTTACTGCTCGAGTTATCTTGTGGAAAATTTGTAAATATCTGGTACATAGCTTTCTTGTGGCAGTACTAAACACAAACGTAATGTAACTATCAGACTTTTTTTTCTTTCAAAAACATTAAACATTTCATAAAAAAAGTTAGATTCTGCATGTACCTCTGTGTAAATGAACTGTCATTATATTATTATGATAGAAATACTGTATAATAGAAATAAAAATGTAATATTTATGTGAATAAGGGTAAGATAGATTAATATGATATTAATTTATCAACAATACACCTTTTTGTTCCTTTTTCACAAGGATGCCTGGTTCAATCCTGCCCTTTAGCAAATGTGCATTTTAAAAACACACAAAGAAAGTTGTTGTTCCTATCCAAGTAAAACTGACGTAAATGGAATATATTGACCTTCTCATTACATTATAAAACCCCGTGAGCTGTAACTCTGGCAACAGGCAGCAATATCAAAGTCCCTCTGTATGCACTCCAATGGGGGCCGAGCAACCAGAGCAAAAGTTTGTTCCACTATGATTTTTAAAGAAAATTATATTCATCAAGGTTGCATAAACGGAACAAAATCCTTTCTTAGTACTAAGGGCTATGAAACAATAAAACCGGTTATTGCATCATCCGGGTATTTAAAGGGGTCATATGATGCGATTTCAATTGTTCCTTCCTCTTTGGAGTGTTACAAGCTCTTGGTGCATAAAGAAGATCTGTAAAGTTGCAAAGACTAAAGTCTCAAATCCAAAGAGATATTCTTTATACAAGTTAAGAGTTAACCACGCCTACATAAAACGGCTCATTCTAACACGCCCCCACAGTTGATATTGATATTCCAGGTATTATCAAATGGCCATAGTTTTGAGAACGCAGCAGACGTGGAGGATTATAATGTGATAAGAGCTCACTCAAGAACTGAGGTGCTAAACCATTCAGGGCTTTATAAGTAATTAGCCAGATTTTTAAATCTATACAATGTTTAATAGGGAGCCAGTGCAGTGTTGACAGAACCGGGCTAATATGGTCATAATTCCTGGTTCTAGTAAGGACTCCAGCTGCTGCATTTTGGACCATCTTTCAGTTCAGATTATTTGTTTATGATCAGAGAGGGTCGAACGAATGAGATACATCTTTTACAAATTGAAGGACTGATGAAGAAACTAAAAAGAAATCAATTCTAGATTTTAAGGTCATTTTACTATTTGACCAAGAGAAGTCCTCTGTGTCAGGATGAAAAAAACGCCAAGGATCTGTGAGGGAGAGAGAAGAAAATATTGATAAAATATTATTAGAATTATGGTTAGTGTGAAGAGCTTCATTGCAAGGAAATCTGTCCAGTGTGTCATCTAAACATTCATTGAAATCGCCATCTAAAATTAGAAAAGAGCTTGGGTATTTATTATATATTTCTGTCAAATTACAATTAACCTGAGAAAATGATATTTTGTTAGCAGAAAGAGAATTACAGCCATTTAAATTGCAGATCATCAAAATAGAGTTATCTAAGATATAAGAATTGAAACCCCAGCAGAATGATTAGAACCATGGCTACAACAAATTAAATTACCCCATTGATTCTTCCAGAATTTAACATCCGACTCACAAGAGTGTGTTTTCTGAAGAAAAATTTAATCAGTTTCGCAAGCTTTTACAAAACAAAAAAATAGCTTTCCTCTTTTCCATATCCCGCATACCTCTAACATTCAAAGACATAACAGAAAGTGAACTGAACTTGAAATCCATGACAAATAAAAAAAAGACAAAAAGGAATGAATACAGTATATACTTCATTATATATGAAGAAACTGTGCAGAAGGTGTGACGAGAGGGGCGGGGCGGTGGAGAAAATGCTAAAGCACGACACCTGCGCCACTCACCGGTCTCGAGTCCCACAGAGGAGCTCCGGAAGGATAAAAGGAGGAGTGACGACAGTGTTGGACGAGAGAGGACCAGGCCTGGTCCGTTAGTAAAATGAATTAATAATAATTTAGTCGTAAATAAAATTATCCACATGATGATGACCTTTCACCTGACGATCTCATCAGGGACTATCCCTCACGTTCAGACACCTTTAATGTAGCACTACCAGGAAGCCTTTATAACGTCCGCGGCTGCCGGTGTAGTGCAGAAATTTGCACCCTGCCAGATTATGCACCCCCTAGCATTGGTAGGTTTAGGAGTAGGTGTGGGGGAGGGGTTAGGATTAGGGGCGGGGTTGGGATTAGGCAATCAGGTAGCGACTTCAACGAGGGGGAGCATAATCTGGCAGGGGTGCAGAATTCAGCACAACACCGGCGCTCAGTGCTCATGTATCCCGAGGAGAGCAGCCTCAACTCGGCTAGTCCTTCTGACATTTGCCGCTGGCTCTGATATCTCTGTAGTGGTTAAACATAAGATATAATTAGCTTTGGGTAAATCTTAACAGGTAATCTTTGGTCTTTATTCTATTAATCTGGATTAGGGGTGGGGTTGGGATTAGGCAATCAGGTAGTGATTTAAACGAGGGGGTGCATAATCTGGCAGGGGTGCAGAATTCGGCACAACACCGGTAAGTGGAGTTCTCAGCAGAGCGGTGTGCTTGTATACTTATATTATAAAATTATTATTATTAATAATAATAATAATAATAATTCTTTACATTTATATAGCGCTTTTCTAGGCACTCAAAGCACTTTACATTGTCAGGGGGTATCTCCTCATCCACCACCAGTGTGCAGCATCCACCTGGATGATGCGACGGCAGCCATAGTGCACCAGAACACCCACCACACACCAGCTCACTGGTGGAGAGGAGACAGAGTGATGAAGCCAATCAGCAGATATGGGGATTGTTAGGAGGCCATGATGATCAGAGGCCAATGGGCAAATTTGGCCAGGATGCCAATGTCACACCTCTACTCTTTTCGAAAGACATCCTGGGATTTTTAATGACCACAGAGAGTCAGGACCTCGGTTTAACGTCTCATCCGAAGGACGGTCTTGTATTATTATACAAGAATTGCGTGAACTAAATGATTGCCTAAAGGCTTGAACTAAAGGCTACTAAATGATATGTCAATCAGTACTGCATTATTCATAAAGTTTATTTATTACCTGGAGATAACTTGAAAAACACACATAAACCGTATATTTTCGCAGTCGTGTGTTTATTGTCTTCACGTTTTTTTCTGCTTTTTATTCAGCTCAGCTACAGCCACAGCCTGATGCTTTTGTCCATATTAGGGTTTCCTGCACATCATAAATCATTACTTCTATGAGTATGTTTTGGACTTTCTGCACGAGAGCGCCCTCCGGCTTCGAGTGTGAATTAAACACACACTGCATCCAGATATTCACTTCTCCTCATTTTGGATGCGAATAAAACGTCAGGTCATGCTTAGACTATCGATACTGTCTCTTTGAATTTAAATCTAGAAACCTCTACGTGAACACACCTGCCCGAATAAAGTACGAGGGACGAAATTACATTTCTTTAAAATTAAATATTAAAAATGCAGCTAACGTTCTACACACAGCAATATAAACATTATTTTAAAAATGAGTGCCTTTAGAGTGCCTTTAAAATAATTATCACAACCCTGATAAAACAGGCTTATACTGATTTTCTCATCCTCCAATTTATAGGCTACTTATCAATCTTGTTTTTATCATCATTATAATTTTAAAAAATTATAAATTCAGAACAGGATTATAATATAATTCTATTTTAACAACAACAGTAGTGTTTACAACAGCAAAACCACCATACCCTGTAAACTCAATAATAATAATAGGCCTAATTTAATTCCGTTTCTATTTTCAGAGTGATTAAGAGGTGCAAGTACATTCTTTATTTAACTTTTAAACTTAAAATGGTCTTTTCTGTTCTGTGTTTCTTTTTTAAAACTGCATCATGGCATTTGCTGCTATCACTGCAGAAGCATCCGTTTCGATACATGTCTCAGCAAGAGTACAGCTCTATTAAAAGCCGTGCTACATGTGCCCCTTTTATACTTTGAGCACCTGCCCCTCCAAAGGCCTCTGCCAGGCCCTGGTATTGCGTGACGTGTTCTGACAGGTGTAAGAACAAGGAAGGGCGTAGGTATAGTTTCATTTCCACACAAATCTGAAGACGGTGGGGATTTTTTTGTAACGCCATTACACGCAGAAAGTAAGAAACTATTGTGCGTAAGTATTATCATTTTTATTTGTTGTCGCAATAAGCTTCTCGAGTACAGTTATTTGTTTTGTTTTTAACCATTCTTGATTTGTTTGTTTTTGTTTCAGCTCAACGGAATAGGGTATGTATTTCATAAGACCTAATTGTTTCCTTAATGAAGCATAAATACACAGACAACACAGATCTAATCACTAAACACTCAAATGGCTGCAGCATGATGTTCTATATAAGTATTTATAGTATTGGATGTTTTCATTTATCTTTTATTTATATTAGTTGATGATATCAACAAAGAATAGTTGATGGAAGTGAATGAGGAGGTCAGATGGCTCCAAATAATAAAGCAGACTTTAACCGAGTTAAACTTATGAGTCACATCAGAGTGTTGCACTTTAGGCCTACATTTAAAAATACAGGTTAGGCCTTTAACCTATTAATTGTCAGTCCCACTTTTTGAGCATTGACCTGAAAATGACATTTCCAACTTAAACTGTTGTAAATCATGTATGACTTGGAGCACAGACTTAAATCTCTACGCGTGTGAAAACAAAAATGCTATTTCTATGATACTGAATGATGTGGCTTGCATGCGCCATTTTAAATGAAAATGAAACTGTTTTATACTGATACAATCAGCTGTTTTCTATGCTCCACAATGAGTTTCATAATGAATTAGAATCATTTATGTCTTCCGAACTAAAATTCAATCATATTGTTAGAGTTATTGGTTAAACAAGTGAACACACTAAAACTACAATTAGGCTATATGAAGGGTTAAATTAATTAGAGCTAGAAAGAGTTAGAACAGAAACATTGATAAATATGTATAGCTACATTTATTAATTACAATGTTTGTTGCCCAACAATGGTGGTGTTGTACATTTTGTACTAAAACTACTTCTGAAAAAAAAAAAACTTATTTGAGAAAGCATTAATGACTGAAATGTTTTAAATCTACATAATTGCAGTGGTGTTTAACATCTCTCCACAGATTGTAATGAACAAGAAAAAAGTGAAACGGATAGTAATGAGCAAAAAAATAATACCAAGAAAAACAGACCCCCTAATACAATGCATCATAGAGAACAAGGCAGAGAGACTTCGCAGATTAATAAAAAGCAGAGATATTAATGGATTGTACCCTTTTGAAGACTGGAATGATGATGTTACACTATTAACTGCAGCAGTTTTATGCAGAAATGAAGAAATCTGCTCTTATCTACTCGAAGAGTCAGCTGATCCAAACAAATCCTCAACAAATGGATACACTCCTCTACATTATGCTGCTTTAACAACTGGAGTTCCACTGAGTATTGTGGAAAGATTACTTACAGCAAAAGCTAACCCAAATGGACATCAATTACAATTGTTTACTCCATTACAATGTGCGGTTGATCGTGACCGTGAAGACATTGTGAAAGCACTTATAGAGGCTGGAGCTTCACCTGAAACTAACTATGGAAGAAATCCAAAGCATGATAAAAAAGTGGAGAGAATGATTCGTCAACTATCTTCATATAATGATGCGTTTGAGAAAGTACATCTATTTTTCTCGTTTTCCTGTGCTGTACGAACAAAAAATCAGACAGATATTTTCAGAACATATGAAGAACATTTCCTTAAAGAGCATCCTTTCATTCATACAATTTTGTTTGAGCACTACTCATTTATTAGTATTGTTGACCAACGTGCAGAGCAGTATCGTCAGAGCGCCATCAAGTGGTTAAAAGAGAAAAAGAAAGCAGACGGATATATTGAGGGAGTCATCAGACGCTTCCCAAGAATCCCTCTGGAGCACTGGCTAGTTGCACTAAACTCCTTAGATGATGCTTTGTGTGTCAGTGAAAACATAATTTCTCAGATATTCAGTGATCTTGTGCCAATCCTAACTAACAGTCTTCAGCACTCTGGAAACACACAAGGAGAAAGAGTCAATCATCTGATACTAAAGATACTCAGTGTCATGATGCAGAAGATGCCTGAGCAGAAACTGGGACTCAATCATTCGGTCTTTGAGAAGTTATGCAAAAGTCTATTGCCTCTCACACGTCCTGATTATTCAAGTCGAATTGGAGTTTGGACCTATGGACTGTTTGTCTACATAAATGATGTCACTCCTGAAGTCGTTGCACTGTGTGGATTGTCACCCATCCCAGAGATGATACTTAACACTGCTGAGACAGTGATGGATGAAGTCATGAAAAAAAAGCTGCATAAGTTGGATGAATCCCTGAGAAATCCAGCAGGTTCGAGTGCAGTTGATAGTTTGTGTGAGGAGACTGCAGCTCTATCAACAAGCAGCAAGAAGAAAAAGAAGAAGAAGAAGAAAAAAATCCAGCAAGAGGTGGGATCACAAGAACGTGAGCGGCAAGATAAAGAGGAACCGAATCCAGACACTTTAGTGACATCCATTGAGGAATCAAATTCAAGTGTGCAGCCGTTCACACAGCCAAATGATATCGCAAGAGAGTGGTGTCCAACCAGCCGTCGTTGGAGGTCCAAGCTTGAGAAGCTAGCTAACATGAATAATAGCAATATCAATGGGCTGGAAAAATTTACTCTTGTACTCACTGAAGAATTTCAGATCGCTAAGGGAAGTGATGGAACAGAAGTTTTCCTTGGACTGAGGGATGATGGCACTGAGGTGGCTGTGAAACGAATGATTAAGTCTTACTACCAAGTCCTCAAAAATGAGGAGAAATTTCTACGACTTTTTGATAGTCCCTCTATTGTGCGATATGTGGACTTTGCAAAGGATAAGGATTTCGGATACCTTGTTCTTCAGCTTTGTGAGTACTCACTGGAGGAATATATCCAAAGTCATTTACCAGATGACAGCGCTGAGAGATCTTTTGTTCTGAAGAAGCTGGTGAAGGAAGTTCTTTGCAGCTTACAGGTTTTACACGACCAGCAGAGCAGAGTGGTCCATCGAGACATCAAACCCCAGAATGTCCTGATTGGTAGGAACTAAACCAAAGTTTCTATGTTTATTTAATTGATCAAAACTAAAAAAAAATTAAAAGGACAATGGCCTTTCCCTGTTTCCCAGACATAAATGGGAAAGCCAGATTGGCTGATTTTGGCATAAGTCGTCGACTGAACCTCAGCCAAACCACTTTACGAACCAGCAGTGCTGGAACTAGATGCTGGAAGGCAAAGGAGACCATAGATGAGGAGGTCAACATTGGGTACAAGAGGAGCTCCGACATTCAGGTGGTCAATAATATTGTAATTATAGCTTAAATAAAAAAGTGATTAAATTATATTATTAGAAATTCAATTATTCAGTTATTATAAAATTCAATTTTAGTTGGTGAAAATATATACTAGTAACACTGTAACTTGTTTGAAGGTCGCTGGGATGTTAGTGTACTACATTCTCTCTGGAGGACACCATCCATTTGGTAAAGGTGCACGTTGTGAAGTCAACATTCTAGAAGGAAAATACTCACTGGAGCATCTGGATGATGATGTAGCGAAGGATCTCGTCGAGTGTATGATCAATGAAAATCCAAACAAGAGACCAACTGTGGAGCAAACCCTCGCACACCCCTTCTTCTGGACTGATGAAAGGTAGAATACTCCATTGACTTGGCAATGGCATTTATCACTCTAAAATGAACAAACACCTCATGACCTTATTAAATCCACGATCTGTAATTTTTGTATAAGCCAGAAAGGTTCAGCACTGCTTATGGCACTTGCAAATTATGATTTTATTTTAAATGAAGGGGAAGTTGCATTGTATCTAGATAGTCTTTTTTATTATCAGCTGATGTGTCATGAACTGCAGGTAGACATGAAAGTTGAGGATCCAAATGCAGTGTTTTAATGAAGGGGTAATCCACAATTGTGGTCAAAGAACAGGCAAGCACATACACAACAACTGAGTTCAGGGCTGAGGCGAAAGAGTAATCCAGAGTACAGGCAGAATAACAAGACCAGGAACCAAGACAGAGGAGAATTACGATACTACACTCTTAAAAATAAAGGTGCTTCATGATGCCACTGAAGAACTTTTTTGTCTAAATGGTTCCATAAAGAACCTTTAACATCTCAAGAACCTTTCTGTTTCACAAAAAGTGATCAGATTATAAAAAGCTAAGAAAGAGATGGTTCTTTAAAGAAACTTTGACTCAATGGTTCTTTGTGGAACCAAAAATGGTTCTGCTATGGCATCGCTGTGAAGAACCTTTTAAGCACCTTTATTTTTAAGAGTGTAGTCTTAGAAATACAATGCAGACACTATAGCAAGACTTAACAATGAATGACATGAACAGGGCTTATATCCACCTTTTTCCTAATGAGCATACTGCGTTTTATATTATGGGAGGCACTTCCGTTTGGGGAAGTTCCACTCAAAAAGACTGCAACAAATCATTTCAAATCATAAGACTGTGCTACAAATAATCCTTATCTGTCATTTTGACTGAATGGGCTGTAAATTTTCATTCATTTTCTATTTTCAGAAGTCAGGAGAATAACGTTTGGTATATTAATGTGACGTGATACAACAACAATATCAATAGAATAACTCTTTTCAGCCCGCTGCATTATTTTCCTCCTGATTATTGTCATGTTTCCTTTGTATTCCGCTGTACAGGGGCGCAGGAGATGTTTTCAAAGGGGGGGGGGGGGGGGGGGGACCAAACTGTAAGCACAAGCCGAGATAGTAAGATCAGATTTCCAGATCTCGGAACACCATCATATATTAAACTTACCTGATCATTAATAGAATAATATTGATTATTATTACAATATGAAGTAAGCAAAATAAGAAGTACATATGAATGATCAAAACTTAAGGAACAGCAAAATGTCTGCAGAATGCCAAATCTGCCCCCTGTAGTCCAGCCTTTTATGTGGGATGTATCAACTTTCAAACAAACAATTCTACGTTGATAAATTTGGATTCTGTTATTCCACACTATTTGGGTTAATAGTTATTAACAATTACATGGGATGATTAGATGTTATGAAGCTTTGAATGAAGAAGAGTTAACACAGGTTACCATATGGTTATGATCCAAACAGGCTTCAATTAAAGTTAACGATTATCGCTTTGATTAAATCACTTAATCGTTTTACTTCAATAATCACTTAAACACATACGTTTTGCTGGCTTCATCTTTCTGGTTGTGCCAGCCAGGCAGATACAAGAAACTCGTGTTGCAGCTGAGACAGGTACAAGTAAGACTACTAAATCAATCCCCTGCCTGTTTAGGACCGCTACCAGAAGCACAATTAGAAGAAGACAACGTCAAATAGGAATAGGCTACATAAACTATGCATTTGTGGTCTGCTCTCTCGATTTAATTGATGGTATAAACCATAAATAATTCCCTGGAATGCGCTGAGAATCTTACATTTTTCTCACCAAATCCTCATATCTCTTTCCAGGTTGGTTTTTACATGGATGCTGTAAAATGTAATTGTTACGAAATATAGACATATTAATATATTGATATTTAATACGTCTGTAATATTGCTGCTGATAGAAGGAGGATCTTTAGGAGTTATTCATGGTATGTTGAAGGTAATCTGTTAATGCGTTTACACTTTTAAATTTTCTTTTAATGATTTTAGTTGAAGGGTGAATAAAATAATGTCACCTCATTGTACCTAGTTTTTGAAAATGCTTATTATTGCGTTAATAGAGTGAACCTTTTGCTGATTGTTTACAGTGTAAACAGAATTTACTCCCCTAATTGGCACAAAGCATCATGGGGTTTAGGAAAAAGGTGGATAGGGTGAGCTAACAAGGCTAATGAGACACAGGTGCAAACAATGAGTGCTGACGAGACTTGGCAGAGGATTTTGGGGAATGAAGTCATTGATAGAGGGGCAGAAGTCGGGATGAAGTGCCCTCTTACGGACATCAAGGCCAGTCCAGCTGGTGATCGTGACATGATGATATTGTACTGTTTTTGAAATCTTGTCAGGAGAGTGGAGTATTTGAAAAAGATGGGGAACCAGAATGAGACCGAGAACTGTCGTAATGTTGATGAGGAGCTCCTTCAAACTGTTGAAAAATACACAGAGGGGAAAAGCTTTTCTGAATGGAAAACTAAAGTGAGTCTAACTTCAATGCAGAAATATTCAAACATACTATGTAAATATAAATATTAGGGCTGGGCAAGTTAAGCATTATCACGTTAACGCATTAATTGATTAACGCCGATAATTGTTTTATCGCATGTTAACGCAGTTTTTTTTATTAGTATGAAAGTCCATTACTCATTGCCACTGAATACACATACAGACGAACCATGGGTCACCGGAGGGGAAGGATGCTGATCAGGGGCAAGTTCAAGCTCAAACCGGTGCGCAACATTTTGCTACGGTTTCCGGTATGAACGACATGTTTCCTGGAAACGGTGTGCAACGGGGTTTGAGACGGTTTTCTCTTGTTTGGTGGGTGTGTCAAACATGTCAGCCCAATCAGCAGCAACATGTATGTAAACCACGCGGTATTAAAGAGACAGCTCACAATGTAATTAACATCCAAATAAATTCACAAGAGCAAGTATATTGTTTGCACATGTTTATTTACATTAAAGGCAAAACAACTTGAATAATAAGAGCACCAGTATAGATCTGGAACTTTAAGTCTAAATATAATTTAGTAATTGCAATGTCGTCTGGTCCATATCCTTTCCTTAGGAGGGTGTGCTAGACACGGATTAATGTAATAAAAATTCTATACATATTTATATATTTTGCTGTTGTATTGTGAAGTGACACTTTCATAAACTTTTCTATACCCCTCTGATTATATAATAGTAAATATTACAATATCATAGCACAACAACAGTGATCAGCAATAATGATAAGCCGAATACTTCCAATAACATTGAGCGTATTTTGCAGGCTCTGAAAATTCTTCAAAAAGAACACAAAGAATGGCCTTCTCAGCTGCCATAGTTGCAACTCTTGCGTCATCAGAACAGTGTGTTCAACGCCCCACCATTTCTGTTAAAAAAACCCCGTTTTGCACCGTTTTGTCGGGGCTGAACGCAGCCCAGTACTGGCTTTGGATGGGTGTCATCACGCGTCTCAACCAATGAGAGCATTTGGGGAGGGCCTAATGCCCTCGAATGCAATGTGCTTGTAATCACGATTTCATAAGTGGGAAATGGGTTTATTAATTTGAGTCGTTTGGGACGCGGTAACACACGGCCCTCTCACAATATATCAGTAGCCCCTCACTGCAGAACACAAGATCCAGGGGGTGTGGTTGGATCCACATCTAGGGGGTGGAGATGGGTGGGTTTAGGGATCAGGGGATGGAAACGGGTGGGTTTAGGTATATGTAAGGTGGGAGGAGTTGGATCTGGATCCAACCACCTCCCCTGGATCTTGTGTTCTGCAGTGAGGACCATCTCCAATATATTGCTTTACAGATCTATCACTTGCCGCGCAGAAATGTAATGCAATCATGCTGCACGCATCATAAGTTATGTGCTCCGGCGCAGTTAGCGCTCACACTCATTTATATATAATTGAACCATTCTCTGGCCCACCTCTTCCAACCGAGCCAGGGACGGCTAAACGAACCGTGCCCGAGTGTGGCACGTAGCGATCACACTAGTCAAACGAACCGGGCTTTGGGGGTCAGACACGCTCGGCATGGTTAAGATTGCCTAGTGGGAGCACACCCTTATTCTCCCGCATCCCGCACACACAAGTCTCTACCCTACCGCATCCGCACTCGCCCATCAAGTGTTGACCCGTGCCACACTCCGTTGTGTTGGGTCCCATGATCGTGCAGGTCTCTACTCGGAAGGTGCCTGACTGTTATAATCTTATGTTCGAGGCTCTGGACCCTGAGCATAACTTGTTTTTCTATAACTATAAAATATTTTCTATAAAAACGTTAATGCCCTGGCAGTGGCAAATAGATTTAGTTTTATATTTAATTTGATTACATTAATGTTATAAGTTGAGATTTACAAAAATATTTTAACTGCTACTAGAGGAATACTCCTGTTAAAAAAAAAAAAAAAAAATCACCTTATTTGTTTAGTGTTTGCAAACCAAATGTTATTGCACTTTTGTTTAGCAGTTTGTGCATAATGCGGTTAATCGTGATTAATTGCAGACAATCGTGCCATTAATCACGATTTAAAATATTTAATCGTTGCCCAGCACTAATAAATATATTTAAGAAATGTTCAAATTATGAAAATAGTAACAACTTCAACAATCTGATTTAATGTCTAATTTTTTTTTCTTTCTTATAAATCAGTTGAAAATAGTGTATGGCATGCATTAATCTTGGTTTGAAAAATTATTTGTAAAATATTTATTTTTCAGTTGCCATCTGAGCTCATCCAGAAATTAGATGGTAAGAAGAAAGGCTATCCTGAGAACATGCTGGGCCTGCTGCGTTTTATACGCAACCTACACGAGCATTAGTGAGTTACATGTAATATCATGCAACAATGGTTCTTTGTGGAACCAAAAATGGTTCTGCTATGGCATCGCTGTGAAGAACCTTTTAAGCACCTTTATTTTTAAGAGTGTAGTCTTAGAAATACAATGCAGACACTATAGCAAGACTTAACAATGAATGACATGAACAGGGCTTATATCCACCTTTTTCCTAATGAGCATACTGCGTTTTATATTATGGGAGGCACTTCCGTTTGGGGAAGTTCCACTCAAAAAGACTGCAACAAATCATTTCAAATCATAAGACTGTGCTACAAATAATCCTTATCTGTCATTTTGACTGAATGGGCTGTAAATTTTCATTCATTTTCTATTTTCAGAAGTCAGGAGAATAACGTTTGGTATATTAATGTGACGTGATACAACAACAATATCAATAGAATAACTCTTTTCAGCCCGCTGCATTATTTTCCTCCTGATTATTGTCATGTTTCCTTTGTATTCCGCTGTACAGGGGCGCAGGAGATGTTTTCAAAGTGTGTGTGGGGGGGGGGGGGGGGGCACAAAACATTAACAA